TTTCCAATGGGACTTTAATACAGCTACACCATTGTTTGGTTTCCATGGTAACACATCTCTTTAGTAGCGCGCGCAACTCAAAGTCTGAGCGGGTGAGGCAGATATTCACAGAAAACAGAACAAGAATCGACAACTACTCTACTCTCTGCTCACTCCTTTCCTGTAAAATACAGGTCCAGCCCACACATATGCTCTATCAAGGNTTCAAGGATGCATTTTTCCTTTACTCTCAACACAGGGTTTGTTTAATTACTACTGCCACTACTACAACAATTATAATAGAGGTAACATCTGCACATAGTGTAAAACAACTTTTAGTGACACATAACATTTTGGCCCTTAGCTTGTCATGCTTGAAAAAAATTGGCCCTTTGGTAAATATAATTGGGGAACCCTGTTGTAGTGTATTGGTCTTTTGTAGAGATTTTTGATTTATTCTTTATATATTTTATTGTCTATTCCTTGGAGGGGGGGGGCACCAAATCATAATCTCGCCTAGGGCACCAGAATGTCTAGGGCTGGCCCTGCACACACACACACACACTAGATGTGCCCATCCCCCCATGTGAATGGAATCACACACACACACACACACACACACACACACACACACACACACACACACACACACACACACACACACACACACAGANTGGTGACGTTAAGTCATGCAGCCTTGATGTAGGTGTTTATAGCCTAGGGTTAGCTTTAAATTCTTGCAATTCGATTTTGGCTTCAACTTCTATAAAAGCAGAGGTGAGAAAAGTGCTCTTGTACTTAAGTAAAAGTAGAAGTACCAGAGTGTAGGAAAACTCTGTTACAGGTAAAAGTCCTGCAATCATAATGTTCCAAGTACAAAAGTATTATCATCAAAATATAGTTAAAGTAGCGACAGTAAAAGTAGTCATTGTGCAGATTGGTCCATTTCAGAATAATAGATATGATATGTTTTATAATGATTGATCATTAAAGTGTTCTCAAAGCTGGTAAAGGAGCAGCTAGTTTGAAAGAATTTGTGCAGGGTAGCTTGTGAATTTACTCCAAGTCTGATTTAAGAGTTATATTTCACATTACTAATCCAGTCTGTAAAGTAACTTAAGGTATTAAATATATGTACTGGAGTAAAAATACACAGTAGCATAACAAGCTACTGTTTACAACATGCTACTGTGAACAAAATACTCAACTTAAGTACATTACTTGAGTAAATCTACTTAGTTACTTCCCAATCCTAAATAAAAGTGGTAATATTTTGTGGAGATAATCCTGCCGAATAAAACATTTGTCTGCCTAAAATCTTATTCTCTGAAATACTCCAAATCAAATGATTTAAAGATTGAGGTAGCTCTTGCAATGCTAACTTCCAGGTCAGCGTACGAAAAAACGTCATCACTGAACCACTCAAAGGTATTCATAATCATAGCACAGGATTTTCTGCTGCGATTCTAAGGACGTGATATACCAAAACCTAAATATTTTCTTATGTTGAATTTTATTGATGTTTATAGTTTTATACAACTTTCAGGTGTGCAGCTCCTGAGACGAAATGAAGGTCATGAAGGTTGAACTGATCGCTCATCATGTCGTCTTTATCCTGCTGGCTGCCGCTGTGCAATGCCAGGTCAACCCAGGTATAGTAGAAATGTTTACTCTACATCCATGTTATAGGGGTTAAAGTTTGCTAAAAAGGACATTTTGAGTTTATTTGCCTTAAATTTGTAATGTCGGTTTGAAGCTATCAGTTTTAAAATATATATCGCTCAAAGATCCTCCTCATATTTCTGTGTGTGTGTGTGTGTGTGTGTGTGTGTGTGTGTGTGTGTGTGTGTGTGTGTGTGTGTGTGTGTGTGTGCGTGCGTGCGTGCGGGTGGGCGGGTGTGGTTTACCTAATGGTCAGACAGCAAATATGGTCAGAACAGGCAGACCTTTCACAAGCAGGGGGCATTCATGGAAAAAGAAAGTAAGAGAAATTGTAGGTGACACACACACACACACACACACACACACACACACACACACCTTTACTCTCTTTCTCAAACGCACACACATGCACTCATTGGACTTTCCCACTTTGAATATGTTTACAGTAAAAGGCTTATTTGTTCTCCCACTCTCCTCTAAAGTCAGACGTTCGGTGCAGGAAGATGACTAAAACACAGCCGAGTGTTAATAAGCAGGTAGAGATGGAAAGAATAAACAGTCACACTCTGGTAGATGCAATAAGCAGATGTACGCTACAGTCCCTAAATCATCTTAACCCTGTAATGTAGCATCAGTTCATGCCAAAATTACTTTTAATGTGTAAATGCTAATGCCCAGCAGATGCAAATGCTTTTAAACCCCAAAATATCTCTCACACGGCGTGGTAAAGATTATGAAAAAGGATGAAAAATGAGCTCAGAGACCACTCCCGTCTCATTCTGCTTAGACTGGCACATACACAGTGATGCCTCTGTTTGGCTTGAGAGGCCTTACAGGGCTGCAGAAAGTGGAGGAGGGGGGTGTCCAATTTACACTTTCCTGAAAATACACAGAATTAATTTCTCTTTTTTTTTTATTATGATGTTACAGGTCTCACACCCACAAACATATATTGATTTTGTGGGGGGAGTGTGTATCAGCTATGCTTTTTGTGTTTGCAGAAATGTGTCGATATCCCCTCGGTATGACCGGTGGGCAGATTCAGGACGAGGACATCTCTGCGTCCAGCCATTGGTCGGAGTCCACTGCTGCCAGATTCGGCAGGCACGTTCTATTCTTAAAACTGAATTTCCTTTTCTGTGGGCAATATTTTGTTAATCATTACATTTTATTTGTATGGCTCCTTTCATACAGGTGAGTGCTGTTTCAAGAGCTCTCACAGATGACTGAGAAGCCAAAGGATACTTCAAACGAGACAATAGATTAAAAAGAAATGTTATGAATTACAATAAAGGATATAATAGTATTAATGGTTGTAAAGCACTGTGAAATCAAAACAATATTGATAAATAACAATCAAATACAATAAGGTTGAATAAATGATGTGCAATTAAATGTGTACTTTCATAAAAATAATAACTTAAACAAAAACTCATATAACAACAATTATTTAAACAATTATCAAATACATAAGATAGCTAACTAGCTAATTAGCTAGTTAGCTATCTTATGTACTTTACCTATAATATTTGTACAATCTTTTAAGTTTTAAGATCCTTTAAGCAAATCTCTTATGCAATCTCAACTCGAGGTCCATTAAGAAGCTATTCAAGAGCTTTTAATCATATCTTCTTTTGTTTACAGCAGATTGATTTAGCTTACAAACAGTCATTAAACGAACCTTAAGGTAGGATTGTTGGGTCAACAGCTGTTTCTAAGGTCAAATGTAGCTCTGCCTCATGTGAAGATTTAATTAACTGGCACCATTTTGAATAATTATAGTGTTTACACAACCTGCTGTTGTCCTGCAGCAAAAAAAGATCATGCTATGCATAGCAGATACATTTAATCATTTCCTTCTTCCTCCTGCAACATAACTTTCTCTGTTTTATCTTCGTTTGCCCTTCTGTCACTGTCTTATTTCCCACCCCTCTTTAGAGTTGATTTAGATAACGGAGACGGGGACGGGGCCTGGTGTCCTGACATCATGTCAGAGCCGGACGGCCTCACAGAGTACCTCCAGGTGGACCTGCGTTCGCTGCACTTCATCACGCTGGTGGGCACCCAAGGTCGCCACGCCGACGGCATGGGTAATGAGTTCGCCCAGAGATACAGAATCAAGTACAGCCGCGACGGCAGCAACTGGGTTGGCTGGCATGATAGGAAGGGGAGGCAGGTGAGCATGTGCAGATATCACTGTCTGTCAGTGTTTCTCATTCAAGACACGCTTATATAATTTGATTCAGCACATTAGGAGGGCCTGAGAGACTCTGCTGGCATTGTTTATGACAGTATTATATGTGACATTTTAAATAGATAGCTAATATGAATCTGTAACATTGTATAAATAATCATGGACTCATCTTGTGTCTTAATTCAACCTTGACAAAGATATTTATCTAAATGCCAGTTATTGAAGTTTAGGCAATAGTGAAATTAGCATTTGCTTGAGTTAAAGGTATATGTAGCATTTCTCCACAAAAAAAGTCAAAACAACTTTAAATATGTTACATATTGTGTTGGGTTGTAAACTTACTTATATTATAGGCTAGTCATTTTAATCAAGGTCAACTGCAGAATCTGTCCTAAATTTGACTTTTAATAGATAAAGTTATAACATGTTGTTCATTTTTATATATTTTAACCAGATAGATTAATTTACCCAACAATATATCAAATAGTTAAAAATTTGCCCCAGCTCAATCAGCTTTAACAAAATTAAATTAAATGAATAAATGAGAGTAAAAGAGGTGCGATGTTTCTGAAAAACACTTTTAAGTACATTTTTCTATTAGTACTTTAGTCAATTAGCCTTTTCCATGAGGTGATTTAACATGTAATTGAGTACTATATACTGTATATATATAGAAAACAAAGGATCTGATCTGAATACTCCCTTTGTCACTGGTGAGAGATGAAAAGCAGATAACGTCTTTATTGTAGCAGAAAGTAGCAGAGTTCATGGGAATATGAAGAAATTAAGAGACAGAGGAAATAGCCAAAGCGCTGGCATGAGATAAAGGAAACACATTTCTTTACTGATTTGTTAAGGTTTCACAAACAATAGGAAAATAGAGTACTTTATATGCTGAATGTGTTCTCTCAGTCCCTCATATTTGTGCAATCTGCATCTATAGGTCATCGAGGGGAACAGGAATGCGTACGACGTGGTTCTGAAGGACCTGGAGCCGCCCATCATAGCGCGTTACGTCCGCTTCATGCCTGTGACTGACCACTCCATGATAGTGTGCATGAGAGTGGAGCTTTACGGCTGCCAATGGCTGGGTTAGTCATCATGTCCATTATACACAGTGTGAAAACATCACCTAGGCCAAGGGTCAGCAACCTCTACTATTAAAACAGCAAATCAACATACATGTCTAGAGCCGTTAAACATAATTAAGCCCTACTGTATAATAAAAGGAGGCTATTGTTCCTAATGCACGTAACAAGGTGCAGGAAACTGAATAGAGGTCTCAGCAGATATGGCGAGAAGCTGTCTTTAAGCAAATGCTACTGTATGTGCCTTTTAATGAAATGTCTTTCAATATTTATTTGTATTTTTTTTGTCATTTGCTATTTTATTGCTGAAAATCAGTGTACAGCGTTGGCTTGGAAAGCAAACAAATCTGGCCATGCACAAATAATTTATTTTCTTTCAAGCCTTGTTTTCGAATGACAAAAACATAGCTATCTTATCAGGGCAAACTCCACTGCTATTAATATTTAAAATTAAAGGGTAACTGCTGGGTTATAGATGTACGTAGGCTATGATGCAAATGTTGGTCCCCTCACATGTTTAAACCCTTTTTTCTGTGTGTAAGCTACATATTTTTAACAATTGGAGGATACAAGAATCACGTTAGGCCTAAATAAAGGATTCATTCAAAAATAAATATTTTTCAAAATAATTGTATTCATTTTAATCTGAATGATCTGACAAATCCACAATCCAATGGATTATATCCTTTAGAGTGGTGCAGGAATGAGTCCTAAAACCCAAAAATCAGTTGACCACTTCTTCTTCCCTCAAGATTTCTTTTAACGTGTATTTGGTTAGATTCCTCAAAAAGGATCTATGATAAACACAACCTTAAGACTTTTTAACGTTTTCTTCTACAACATAAAATACATCAGCTAATACCCCACTGGTGAATGTCAAAAGCTTGGCAACATTGGTTGCAAACAAGTGGCTAAATGAGACAACTGAACGTCATCACGCCGCGCGTTAGCCGCCCGTTAGCTTAGCTAAGTTAGCTTTTAACTTCTGATGCTTTAAAATTCTTAAAGTGGGGTTAATATGTAAAGATTAACTTGCAGAAGAAAACATGTAAATATCTTACACGTTTTACCTTGTTTTCTGCAATATTCCAATGCAAAGATTCCATCGTTTTTTGTCGAGGGAGCCTATGCTAACCTCTGTGTCGGCCTTCAGAAATATGTCATCACTGCACCACTATAAGCATTCAGTGAATTAATATCTGACCTCTAACCTACCCCCTGTAGATGGCCTGATGTCTTACACCATTCCAGAGGGACACCAAATGATCTACAGAGGCCTGGATGTCTACTTCAATGACTCTGTGTATGACGGAGCATCAGCTGAAAGGTCGGCCTTATTTTGGTCATCCACATCATTTTATCATCTGATATAGAGGTTTTTGATTTTTAAGGTTTTATTTATTCGCACAATAAAACAAAGAAGCAGGACACATCAATAGAAGGAAAGAAGTTGTCCAGAAGAGATAAAAAAACGTTTATAAGCAAAAACCACATTCTGATACCGGTAATCATTAAATATCCGAGTACTTCTGGTGCTGCTCGAGTAGCAGCCTGGTATAGCCATTACTATTCAATGCCAAGTGTTTTTTTTCCTTTGTTTAAAGTACTTTTTGAACTACATGAGACAACAGTGTAAATAGCTGCTATCTTTAATTTATTTGTGAGCATGGATGGCACACTTGCTCTTTTTGCACTTTTACTTATTGGATTTGTAGTTATTTTAATTTGTTTTATCAACACAATTTTGTGTTATTTATATAAAAAATGTTAGTTTTACTCTAATAATTGTATTTTGCCCTTTGCTGTAACACTGTAAATGTCCTGTAGTGGGACGGACAAAAGGATTTCTGATTCATGAATTAAAGGATCTCTGGACTCCTCAATGAATAGAATTCTCAATCCTTGTGTTTTCACTCTTCATATTCTCTCCCTCTCCCTCTGGCAGACTGACAAAGGGCCTGGGCCAGCTGACAGATGGCACCTGGGGACTGGATGATTTTCTGCACAGCCACATATACGGCATGTGGCCTGGGTATGACTACTTGGGCTGGAACAACAAGAGCCTCCCCAAAGGTTACGTGGAGATGATCTTTGAGTTCGACCGCGTCCGAAACTTCACTTCCATGAAGGTGAGGAGGAGTCGTTGTAGGGGACAGTAAACGGTTTCATAGTGAAAAAGTGGAATAACTTAAAAAATGCTGAGCCACTAACATTCTGTGCCGGGAAAGCACCCATCTCCTGTAGCTGCTGTAGATTTTATTGAGACATAAAATGTATAAAATCATGTAAAATAGCCCTGCAGTATGAAAATTATATTTTCAGTTTAATTGGACTATTTATCATGGGTATGTGCTGTGGTAGAGATCAGATTTCATTGGCTATATGCAGAAATATTCTGATACATTCCTCTGATATTACTCCACCATTTTAAGGACAAATCAATCAATACAATTTAATTAAATATGACCCAATATCACAAACATTTTTCAAGGGCTTTACAACACCATACTACACCCTATAAGACCCATGCAGTGTACAAGAAAAAGCTCCTAAAAAAACACAATTAACTGGAAAAAAAGGGAAGTGGATCTCAGTGAGATTTAAAAAGATAATACATTTACAACATAGACAGCCCAAATGTTAGAATAGATAATGTGTATACATTAAAAAAGAAGATGGATCCAGGTGGATTTCAACAATCTTCTCTTACCCAGCTGCTGAATGATGAATCCCACTTGACATTACCTATATGGAAATCGAATTATACCCAAGGACAGTTCATCATGTAGATTATGGGGCTGGGGATCCAACCATCTGATTGGTAGACACCCATTACCCCTTGAGCAACAACCACACAATGGATCATAATGTGCAAAGGCAATGGGGCATGTAAAAAGTAAGTAAAGGGATAGGTACAGTAAGGTGGCCGGCAAGTGCAAACGCGCTACAACGGCCCAAAACACGTCCATTAGGGGAAACACGCTGCAGCACCAGAAACGATAACAAATGTGCTAAAACACATACAAATTAAGAAACTTGACAACACATGCATAGCATTTGGAAAACATTCAACAAGCAACACATAAATACACTGCAAGAAGCTCAAAACACAACAGAAACGGGACACTAAAACATGGTGCTCAAAGCTGGGACCGGAGCGATTGTTGACGTTTGGGGAACATAGAGTTACCAACTATCACTGGACACTTTTATCTGCTTATTTTAACAATGTTATCCAAGACTCCATAATATATTACTAGGTAAGAAAGCTTTCAGCAGATCTGCGCATGTTTCGTCAAGTTGGTGAATAATGTCCGATCTGCATTACCGCTAATTTATTACACTTACACATTCAAATATACATCTGTGTCACTAATATAGTGTAGCGGCCAAAATCATATAGAAATAAAACAGATAATTAACTTAAAATAATACAGCCGCTAACTAGTGCCTCAGTGGCTGTATTATTTTAAGTTAATTATCTGTTTTATTTCTATATGATTTTGGACAGTAAAAAATCGTTTGCCTACGCAAACGGTTTTTTACCAGGGTGTTTCGAGCCACAGGGTTTTCCAAGCCACAGGGTGTTTCAAGCCAGCAAAAGGAAAGCCATAGGAAAGGCTTAAGGAAAAGGGATATAGGAAACCTGTTCGTTGTACTTTTGTTATTGAAATAAATTGCACAAATGGAGAATCTTGTCTGGACCTGGATCATTGCCCTGCGTAAGATCCGCTAACTAGTGCCTCAGCAGCTGTATTATTTTAAGTTAATTATCTGTTTTATTTCTATATGATTTTGGCCGCTACATATAGCTTAGCTGAAAATACAGAAACACAAGCTCATCACTGCAGCATGGCTTCATACTGTCGTCTAGGTCTAATAACTTCAACCTTTTACATATTATAGTTGGCATTGCACATGAACATGCAGTATCAGAAAAGTAGCTACAGGTTAATGAAATAAAAAAAATTACAAAAGCGCTTTAAAGTCTTCAAGTCTTGTTGAATATGAAAATATGTCCTATGTATAAAGTCTAAGGTTTGAATGTTGTACTAATCAAATTATGTCATAACCTCATAACTTAACAATTGGTATAGCAAAACATAGCTAATTCCCTTGTAAGTTTTATCATCATAATATTTGCAGGATACATCTCTTAGTACTCTGATCTTGCTTGGTTTGAACTACATATCCCGCCTCCACCCCCCCAGGTCCACTGTAATAACATGTTCAGCCGAGGGGTGAGGATGTTCCGTCAAGCCACCTGCTACTTCCGCTCGGGACCGGACTGGGAGCCTGACCCGGTGACCTTCAGGCCCGAGTTGGACCGCATAAGCCAAGGCGCCCGTTTCATCACCGTTCCCCTTGGCGACCGCACAGCCAGCGCCATCAAATGCCGTTTCCACTTCAGCGACGGGTGGATGCTGTTGAGTGAGGTGGCCTTCCAGTCAGGTGAGATAGGAAGTCCTCTCTGAGTATAATATCAGTAATATCTAATATTTACACATTCAAATGTCTTGAAAATGGCTAGACTTTTGGTAAATGTGTTGTTGTAATGTAAGCTTATTCCAAAGGCTTCCAATTGTATTAAAACTCAATATACTGGTCTGTTGTGTCAGCGCTGTCAACTTTTAACCCGTTTTAAGTACATTTTTCGATAGAATCTACACATTTTGGTTGTTTTTAACTTAACACAAACTTAGTCTGTTTGTTTTAGACGGAAGGAGACCTCTGGGGTTTATTCGGCTCTTGGTTAAAATCTCCTGCACATGTACTGTACATCTTACACTTTCAGAGGAAAAGCTGGACAAACATTAGTGGTAATCTTGTTCGCGGCTGGGACATCCCTTATAGGCAGAGCAGCATCGGAGAAACAAACATTTGTATTTGAAACTGCTGTTTGTATTACTTTTGCCATTTTTTAATCAGCAAATCTGTTTGTTTTGGAGAGGAAGAGACCTCTGGGGATAATTCAGCTCTTGATGAAAATCTCATGCACATCTATATCTTACTATATCTTATTAGACAAAAAGCTGAACAAACATTAGCGACAGCTTGGCTTGCCGCAGCCCATGGGACATCCTTTATATGCAGAGCAGGATTGGAGAAACACTGATTTTTATCTGCAACTGCTTTTTTCATTATTTCCCCCCGTTTTAATGAGTCGGTCTGTTTGTTTTTGAAAGCAGGAGATCTCTGGGGGTAATTCGGCTTATGGTAAAAACCTCCTAAATGGAAAACAATGAAGAAATCCTAAACTGAAGCTGACCTCCATGACAGCATTGGACACAACAAAGCCTCATAATTTGTTATTGTTTGGATTGAGAGACCCCGAGTGGCCCAATATGACATGTTGTGCTTTTACCTGGCAGCATGTTTACTGCACCATTCCTCTTGTCTAACCTTACTTCCCCTTCTCTTTCTTTCTGTCTCAGGCTCTGCCGTGTACAACACATCTCTGACTCCTCGAAAACATGGACACCCCACAAACCTATTGCCAGGTCAGAAACTAAACCCTTTAGGATTTGTTTTCCTTTAAGTAAAAGTTGTAATTTTGGTGAAGTGACTTTCAGGCAGGGGAGAGAAATGTTGGCAGGAGGGAGTGGAGGCTGGTTTGATATGCGGATGCTAGGAAGTGATGTAGTGGTAAACAAAACACAGGTCCAGTATAATCTTCAGTCACCTACAAATATAATTTAAAAAAACTATAAATGTAGAATAAAGTCAAGCTGGGATTGGTGAAATAAAGTGATTTATTTCAGTCTAAAAGTGTGGGTTAGTTTCCAAGTTGAACTAAAATGTTCTCTGGTCCAACAGTGCCCCCTGCTGATAGTATCTGAAATTGTCTTTTTTTGCCATTGTCATTATTATTTTTTCACATTAAAAGACAAATAATAAAACAACAGAAAACAAATGTAACAACAGCGCTAAAATAAAGGATTGAATACAAAGTACACTGATTGACAAAACATTTTATAAAAAAGAAGATATACTCGTAATGGTAAGGTACTACTAATATTGAATTAAATAAATGTAAAAGAAAATACATAGTAAATACAATAATAATAACAATTATAATAATAATAATAATAAATGTAAAGGTTATTTTTCCTCGCTGTTCAATGCTTCAGACATATCCTTATTTTCCATCAAATCCATAGAAGGCTCCCAGATCAAATTAAAGTCTTCCCATACTAAGTAATTCTTTTTTAAGAGAGGCAAGAAGACATCTGACGGAAATAGATGTCACTTCTCTTTCTGTATCTTCAACGAAACATAAAGCAGATTATGCAATGATAATGTAATTTTTGTTGGATGTACTCTTAATAAGATGAAATAACTCAACCTCCTCTGGCTGTTAGGAGAGGATCCGTTTCATAAAGTGGACGACAGCAACACCAGGATCCTGATTGGCTGCCTGGTAGCTATTATAGCAATCTTATTGGCTATCATCGTCATCATCCTGTGGAGGCAGGTCTGGCAAAAGATGCTTGAGAAGGTGAGGAGTATTTTATTTATTCATTCCATTCGTTTGAGACCAAACAGATCAATAAGAGGTCTAGGTTGTATTTGTATTGTTTTTATAAGACAGCTTTATGAGCTGGAATTGACTGCAGTCACATGGAAGTCGATTTCAAGCAGGCGGACAGTGCCATCAGCACCCTATGGTGTATTGGCATTAAGTAACCTTTTGTAGAGTCTTAGGTGGTGATGTGGAGACAAAAGCATAAGATATTTCTGTATTTATGCATCACACTCTGTCATCCCATACTTTAAATTATGGATTCGACACAAATTCCACAACAATATATCAACAATGTCTATATACTGTATATATATATTTCTTTATTTGCAGGTTGAATTGTTGTTATTGTCTACCTCACTAGCTTTGGTTCTTGCACACATAGTTTAAATCCTTAAAATATTGTTATTACAATTTGGGAAAATACATACAAATAAACCTGGGTCATTCAAAGTGATTTAAATTGCTGGAAAAAGGATTTATTTTATACTATTGTCAAATGTACTTGATATTAGTAAATAGACTAGGTTCTTCTGTCTGCATTATGTCTTCGCTCCTGCCTCAAGAAGTCACATGTGGGCATTATTAACCGAAGTTGAAAGACATGGGTTCAGCAGCAGAAAACAAGAGAGAAAGAAAACGTTAGCAATGCAATGTTGTCCTTAAAAAGTCCTTGATTATGATGCTTTAAAAGGTTAGGAACACTTTGAGTTACAATAAATGCTTATCTCCAAGAATGTCCTCTTTTTTGAACAAGTCGGACATCCAATACCGATTTCCCATTACAACAAACCTCCACTTTCTCTCCACAGGCCTCCCGTCGCCTGCTGGACCATGAACTCACCGCTCGCCTGGCGGTGCAGACGCAGGCTTTCTCCTCCCTCCACTCCTCTCTGACCAGCGATAGCGGCTCCACCTCCAACTCCACCTACGAGAGCATCTTCCCCCTCTGCTCCGACTACCAGGAGCCTTCCCGCCTCATCCGGAAACTCCCAGAGTTCGCTCAGTCCACGGAATATCTCGGTAAGATCGAGCACAATGCGTAGATAGGGGAAGACTGGGGAGGATTGCAACACCTTTTGCATTTCTCTCTGTTACTCAGAAAATATTCGATCTAACTGAATCATTGTTTTATATATTAAACGTACATATCTCTTGTAGTTAGCCATACCATTTAAAGATTATTTCATATATCGTACAATATATTTGAACAGGAAGAAGTCAGATCTGGCAACTGACCCCAACCCTGGGACAGTTGCAATACACAACACGGATGGTGTCAACACTTTTAGCATTTTTCTCCATTACTCAGATTCTAATATGTCTAGACCAACCAAATGTTTATATATTCAATTATTTACATATAGTTACTGTACTGTATCATTCACAATTGATATTTGAAAAGAAGAAAAAGGCAGATGTTGCAAGTGACCCCAAATCTGGGACAGTTGCAACACACATCAGGGTTGGTTGCAACACTTTTTGCTTTCTTTTTTTCATATATCAAACATACATATGTCGGCAAATAACCAATAACATCTTCAGATGACATATCGTCCATAATATACATTTGAAAGAAAAGAAAGTGAGATGTTGCAACTGACCACAACCCTGGGACAGTTGCATCACTTTTTTACTTTCTCTCAGAGACTATTTAGTCTAGACCAAACAAATGTTTATATACTTATTACCCATACCATTTAATGATAACATATTATCCAAAATAGATATTTCGAAGGAAAACATTTAGTCAAATCAGGGCTGGTTGCAACACTTTTTGCGTTTCTCCGTTACTACTACTACTAAAATAGTCTAGAGCAACCACATTTTGATATAATAGTCTTAAAGATGTTTGCTAATTACCTATACCATTTAAAGATGACATATATGTGTGCTGTAGTGTGTGTGTTTGTGTGTGCACCTCATCAGGACCCAGCATCTCCCCCAGAGCCCTTGCATCCAGCGGGTTGGACGGAGCCCCCCACTATGCGGAGGCGGACATCATCAGCCTCCAGGAGTCTGCAGACTGCTACTCCATCACGGCCGTCAACATGAATCTCTTCTCTGGAACCGATTCCTCCATGAGAGAGTTCCCCCGACACAAGCTCACCTTCAAGGAGAAACTGGGAGAGGGCCAGTTTGGAGAAGTAATGTTGTTGCTTTAATGTTTGTTGACATTGATTTGGACGTTTAAATATATAAAGAATATTCTTCCTGAAGTTATGATGATGCATCTTTAAAGCTCTCATTTTAAAGATTGAGTGATAGTGTGGTAAAAGCATGAAAATAGAGTACATGCTGACAAATGGCCAACGCTAAGTGGTATTAAACTCATGGTTCTGAGTGGTGCCAAGTGGGTGATGGACTAACAAAGTGCTTTTTAAAACAGGTGCACTTGTGTGAGGCCGAGGGCATGCAGGACTTTCTGGATGAGGATTTGTCCATAGAGGGAACCAACGAGTCCCCTCTGCTGGTCGCTGTGAAAACACTGCGGGAAGATGCCAACAAGAATGCAAGGTAAAAGGTTCATCTTTTTTGGTTAAATAAAAAATATACAAAGGGGCTCAGCACTTTCGTCTCCAGCTGGTTGTTATTTTTCAGTCAAAGGTCACTGTTACGATTCACATTACTTCTACCTTCGATAGTATTGAAAGTACCGAACATATCAAAACAAACAGATCTACAGTGAGTGTTTCAACTTTAGGATGAACTTAGTAAACAACATTATTTGTCCAGTAACCTGGAATATTTATATTTGGAGATTTATTTGGGTCTTGTAACAATATTTCCTTATGAATACAAAATTACATTTACATTTGCCATGAAAGAAACATTACAAAAATGTTTGTGTGTGTCAACTATAGTTCTTAAAGAGATAGATAAATATATATAAGGATGTGTAGGTCTTAAAGGTAAGGAACATATTTAAGAATATTAATAACGAATGTTAATTACCACAAACACAGTTAGATGTGTGGTATGTGTTCAATAACTTTCTTTTAAAATAAAATAGAAAAAAAACATTTTAGTGTGCCTTTTTCCCCGTTCTCCCCTGTGTCGAAATAAATTTAAAGTATTGCATTTTGTACTAGTGTCTTATCAGGTTTAAAATAATGTTATTGTGACAACCTAGTCAATGAAGCAGTAAATGACAATAGTTTGCCCCGCTGTGCTGCAGGAACGACTTCCTGAAGGAGATCCGGATCATGTCCCGCCTCAGGGATGCCAACATTGTGCGTCTGCTGGCGGTGTGTGTGGACACCGACCCGTTGTGTATGATCACAGAGTACATGGAGAACGGAGACCTGAACCAGTTCCTCTGCATGCTGCGACTGAAGGAGGCCGCTGGTGGAGACAAGGCAGAGCCGGAGGAAGAGGAGGGGGAGAGTATGGTCAGGTGGGCTCATACACTAACTTGTTAGCAGGGTTAGGGTTTAGGGTTTAGGTGCAAAACGCATTAATGACAGGCTGTCATTGATGCGTTTTGCACCCGGGCCGTTGTTTTGATATTCCGCTGAAGTATACGCTGTGACGTAATAACTATTTTTCTTTCTTTTTTTTCGAGGGAAAGGGAGGGCGGGGGGGTATCGAGGCCTAGCGTATAAAAATCATGGCTCGCCACTGGTTATTGGGTGATGAAGATGTAAAAGGTTACTTCTTAAGTTCTAAAATAGTTTGGCCCCTGTCAGTCACGGCGCCCTGAGAATCGGTCCTAACTTTTCACCCCTGCCAACTTGCACTGGTCTAAATAGTCCTGGTTGTTTTATGCAAACTCCTTTTTTTAATATGGGAAATATCTTACAATATCTGTACACTATTAACAAACTAAAACGTTTAGACCTTTTTATGCAGTATTAACAGTTATAAGTTTAGAAGCAATGTTAAAATAATAGTGATACGTCATTTCTTTTTCTTTTAAAGCCCCAACATTTATTTCCAGTGGATACCAACACTAACATAGCAAAAACATATTATAATTACCTGCATATGAATGTAGCCAAATGTTAAGCTTACAGTTGCAAAATAAGTTTACATTTAAAGTGAAATACATGCTACTCCCCAACATTGAACACTAACTGTATTTACAGCCATTTTTCCAACTGTCTTCTGTTTTGTGTTGCTCTGCAGCTAACGTAACTCATCGCCAATGGCTGTGCAGATGCGCTGGTATGAAGTACCTTCCTCTCTCAACTTTGTGCACCGTGATCTGGCGACCCGAACGCCTGGTGGGGAAGAACTACACCATAAAAGATCGCTGACTTTGGCATGAGCAGAACCTCTACAGAGGGACTACTACAGGATCCAGGGCCGCGCCGTGCGCCCATCCGCTGGATGTCCT